TCAAAACGTACTGCTAGCAATTGTCATATGATGATCGGCAAAAGGTACCCGTTTGTCCTTTAACTTTTTGAATTTGAAGGTTTTTACCATCCATATTACAATATATGGATTTTTGCTCTTCATATTTTCGAGTTTGAGGAAATGAGGTAAAATTTAACATCGGAGCGTCACGTGTAGCACGTGCACTGTTGGCCTCCGTCAAGTATGCACATGTCAGCGCCAACTCAGACTTTTTTGACAACTTGGCATGCCAACTTGGAACCCCATGAACGGAAAGTCTACCTGCTACCAATTTTATTTGTGGGCCCCACTGCATACCAAAGGTTTGAAAAAAAAGGTTAAATCCCCGATTCAGTCCCTCAACTTTCATTTTTGAACTAAATTTACCTTCGAACTTAAAAAAGTACTAAAAAAATCTTTCCTTTAATAAATAAAAATTTCTTTTTTTTTTCTTTTTTCTTTCCATTCCTTTTTTTTTCTCCTTCTCTTTCCTTTTCTCCTTCCCCTCCCTACTGGGTTCGAAGGAACACAGCACCAGCGCCTGGGTTCCTCGAACCCAGGTGCTAGGTTCTTTCGAAAGAACCCAGGGCTTGGGTTCAGGGAACCAAGCGAACCCAGCACGCCCTCTGCGGCGCTTGGGGCGGTGTTCGGCTGGGAAGCACCCATCTGGACCCCAAAATTATCCCTTGCAATGTCTCTCTTGGTCTTAACGGCACGATGCAAGATCTCGCCGTCGATAAAATTGTCGAAGCTGGTATCGGTCTTGTCCATCCTGATCAAGCCGGTGATTTCTATGACTCTATGCATTCCCACCTTGCCAAATTTGGTGTTACAGGTGTTAAAGTTGATGTCATTCATGTAGGGATATAAATTTTCATTATTTTTTTCTTTTATATTTTTATATTTTACCTTTTAATAACTTCACTTTTTTTCTTCTTCTTTTTTTTTTTCCAATTTAGACCCTTGAGTATGTTTCTGAAGATTATGGAGGGAGAGTTGAACTTGCAAAGGCTTATTACGATGGACTGTCAAGATCCCTGGAAAAGAACTTTAAAGGAACTGGAATCATCTCCAGCATGCAACAGTGTAATTACTTTTTCTTCCTTGGAACAAAACAGATATCAATGGGACGAGTAGGTAAGAAATTAACCCAATCCCTTTTTTTAGAAAAAGAATTTGCCATGGAAATTTTTTTGTATAATAACATAAGTATTTTGGCTTTAAACAACTAATTTCACAGATATCAGCAAACCGCTATCCTCCATGGAAATTAAGGACCTAGTGTTGATTATTTTTTTGTGCAGGTGATGATTTATGGTTCCAAGATCCAAATGGGGATCCCATGGGAGTGTATTGGCTACAGGGGGTTCATATGATCCACTGTGCCTATAACAGCTTATGGATGAGTCAGATTATCCAACCTGACTAGGACATGTTCCAATCCGACCATTGCTGTGCCAAGTTCCACGCCGGATCACATGCCATCTGTGGCGGCCCTGTCTACCTGAGTGACTCACTCGGCGGCCATGACTTCAAACTCATTAAGAAGCTTGTGTTCCCGGATGGTACCATTCCCAAATGCCAACGTTTCGCCCTCCCCACCAGAGATTGTCTTTTCGTCAATCCTCTGTTTGACAAAAAGTCCCTCCTCAAATTTTGGAACTTCAATAAGGTAGTACACTTTAATCCGCATTGTAATTTAATTAATTTGATTTTTATGTTTGAAACCAAGTGTTTCAATTTGGTTTACGTAGCATGGAGGTGTAGTTGGAGCATTCAACTGCCAAGGAGCAGGGTGGGATCCAAAGGAGCAGAGGATCTTGGGTCGTCCGAAGTGCTGGGTTCGAAGGAACCCAGGCTTGGGTTCCTCAAACCTAGGCGTGCTGGGTTCCTCGAACCCAGGCGTGCTGGGTTCGCCTGGTTCCCTGAACCCAGGCGCTGGTGCTGTGTTCCTTCGAACCCAATAGGGAGGGGAAGGAGAAAAGGAAAGAGAAGGAGAAAAAAAAAAAGGAAAGGAAAGAAAAAAGAAAAAAAGAAATTTTTATTTATTAAATGAAAGATTTTTTTAGTACTTTTTTAAGTTTGAAGGTAAATTTAGTTCAAAAATGAAAGTTGAGGGACTGAATCGGGGATTTAACCTTTTTTTTCAAACCTTTGGTCTGCGGTGGGACCCACAAATAAAATTGGTAGCAAGTAGACTTCCCGCTCATGGGATTCCAAGTTGGCATGCCAAGTTGTCAAAAAAGTCTGAGTTGGCGCTGACATGTGCATACTTTACGGAGGCCAATGGTGCACGTGCTACACGTGACGCTCCGGCATTAAATTTTGCCTCATTTCCTCAAACTCGAAAATATGGAGGGCAAAAATCCATATATTATAATATAGAGGTAAAAACCTTCAAATTCGAAAAGTTAAGGGGCAAATGGGTACCTTTTGCCTATGATGATCTCATTAATTGAGTCAAATTTAATGATCGATTTTTCTCTAGAATCAACATGAATGTTTGTTGTCACATTATCGACAAAGTAACTCA